AGCAGCAGCAGCAGCAGCAGCAGCAGGAGGAGTAGCAGCAGCAGCAGCAGCAGCAGCAGCAGGAGGAGTAGCAGCAGCAGCAGCAGCAGCAGCAGCAGCAGGAGGAGTAGCAGTTGTCGTTGTTGTTGCGGTAGTGGTAGCAATAGTCGTCGTCGTGGTGTAGGGCACAGTCGAGTCTAGCCGAATAGAGTAGAGCATGATCGTATAGTAGAACTGTGGCGCGCGATGCTGGACTACCAGATGGCACATATTGTGCAACCATGTGCTGCTGCACACAAAAATCTTTAACACCGAATTTACGAATGTCGTGCACGGTTGCGTGCGAGCTGCTATTGAAGTTGAAGCCTTCACCGATCAAATCGGTCTGCACAAGTCGCAAATACCGGCAGCACTTGGGAACACGAGATCTATTCCGCATCGGCTCAAATCACTTGAAACGTCTCCAGATCAAACGGCCAAAAAGCCACGGCTTCTGTACAACCTCTCCAGGATAAAAGGGCATGCAGCTATTCGGGCACTCTTGGCCCGGCAATCGCAAAAGCTTTGCAGCTCGTGGTCTTAAGTGGCCTTGGCATGTTGCTTCAGATGTGCGGCAAACATCCATGAAAGGAAGAAGAGGAACAAGTAGGTGCAGAGCTGGGAAGTTGCAAAACTGATCGATGTCAGGATCGCACCTAGCTGCGCTCCAGCACCCCGGCCCAGCATCAGCGAAATCATGTTGACTGCTCCAGCTCGGTCCTTGAAGCATGGTGCCACGATCTTCGGAGCTAGTGCATAGGCGTAGTTCTTCACAACGCAAGCGCAAGAATTGACAAGCAGCAAGCCAATGAACATGACGGTTATCGCTGCTGTCGGCCAGTCGCGTGAAAAGGGAAATGTGATCAGGGAGCAAGCTGCACCCAAGCAAGCGCTCAACTGCAAACCTTTCCTATCTTCCAGGAGCTTTACCAGTCTGCTACTGATGAGGGACAGCAGCGACACGACCGCCATGAATCCTGCAAGCGCGAAAGCTGTCAGGGACACGCTCCAACCCCAGGTCTTTTCTGCCAACTTCACGAAGAAGACGATTGCCATCGTGTTGGTCATGGCGCTAGCAAAAGCTGCGAAGATGCAGACCAAGAAGCCGCGGTTCCAGAGGCTCTCCTGACTATCCGCTGTGTCGTGCTTGGCAGACTGCACGTCATCTTTTGGGTTCTCAAAGAAGAAAACCAGCTTGAGAAGGAAGAGGTAATAAAGGAAGGCCATGAACCAGCCGGGGATGGTGTCAGAGTCCAGGACCAGGTTCTCAATCCGAAGCTCCTTCACAAAGGTTTCCAAGAGCGCGGCCAGCAGCGGCGCAGCTGTGAAGGCCAGCGTGGCAAAGGTGGAGAAGATGAAGAGCGCCTTCGTCCTTTTCTTCACCCCGACGGCTTTTGCAATGTAGATGGGCCCTCCCAACTGACACTGGCAAACTCCGATGATGGTCCGTGCGGCGAGGATGGCAAACTTGGAGCGCATGAGGCCAGCAAGGGCGTAGAGTATGTTTCCCAGAATGCAACAGGCCACCATAACAATAAGGATGGTCTTCAAGGAAATCCCGGACCTCAGCATCCAGTAGTTCCTCAGCTCTTGAGACGCTGAGAAAGCCAGGAGTGGTCCGAAGAAGAATCATTTATAACAAAGACCGTAACAGTACCGTAAATTACTATCGTGATACTATAATAATATTATAAAGGTACAAGGTTTAGAGTTTAAGGATGTCTCACTGTGCAAGTAATCGGCAGCTTAACTCCAACACTGGTAGCCCAACACTATCCAAAACGGTATGAGACTCTGCAACACCACATACTACTACTACAACTACAACTACAACTACTACTACTACTACTACTACTGCTACTACTGCTACCTGCTACTACCTGCTACTACCTGCTACTACTGCTACTACTGCTACTACTGCTGCTGCTACGACTACTATGTGACCCTGTATTAACCGTACGATGCAGCACCCTACTAAACTATGCGATGCTGTACTACACTGTACTGTATTGTATGACTGTATAATGTAGCATAGTATATTATAGTAAAGTTCTGCGTAGTATAATACTGTAGAATATAGTTTAGCATAATAAAGTAGAGTATACTACAGGTAGGAAAAATAAGTGGATCAAACGCACGATGCTGTAGCCCTGATGGCTTAAGAGGCTGTTAATGCGTGGAGAACGGCGGAAACACAAATTGACATGTGTTGGCCTTCAGATTTCAGTATTCTGCCAATGAGTTACTACCGACGTACGGGTCGTAGCAATGGCCCAGAACGTGTTCCACACAAACTGGTAGGAATCGGAAAGCCATTTGTCGCCTTGATGCTCCAACCCGACACTTGCCGACGTTACAGCATTCAGCGGGCTTGGGTTGGTAGCTGACCTACCTGAAAAGATCTTCAAAGGAAGATCTTATAGCATGACTTGGGTTGGTAGCTGACTTGCTTGAAACGATCTTCAGAGGAAGATCTTAAAATATGACATGCCAGCCTGCCACACGTTCCAGCACCAATTCGGAGAATAGCTTTAGCTGCATTTTACTCCCAGTAGGATTCTTGCTAATTTCACACTGCCTCTGTATGGTGCTTTGCTTCCAGACAGTCTAAGAGCCGCTTAGTATTTTACAGTATATATTATTATGGCATACTATACCACTGCAGGTTTTTGAGAGCATTGGAGTGAGTTGAACCCTATAACCATGCCGAGGCTCAGCGGGATACCCACCAGCCCCTGGAAGAAGGGAGTCAGGGCAATGACCAGGCCACCTGGGCTTAGGGTGGGCTGATAGCGTTTGGATTTGGGCTTGATGTGTGTTTTTTTTGAACCCATGCCCTCGGACTTGCCTTAGACGACTCTTCTTAGTCGGGGCACCCTCTCTTTACAGGGTCAGAGGACAATCTTCGGATGTGTACACCCTACCAGAACATTACCCAACCCAGGGTTCAGGGTTTACCGTTGGCAAGCATGGACACAGAACTAGCAGACTACGGCATCATCCGGTGAAGGATAAGTACTGCCTCCTACAGCAAACTAAGCTTTTCTCACTTCACGAGCAGCAGGGGTTGAGGCATGGGATCCTTTCTGGTGTAATACTATAGTACTATAATACTATAATCCTATAATACTATAGCACAATAACACTACAACACTATAACACTGTAGCATTATAATAGTATAATACTATAATACTATAATACTATATAGTTGACTATAATTACCTATAATTGACTATAATTGACTTTAACTAGCTACAATTGACTATAATTCTATAATTGACTATGATTGACTATAATACCATAATACTATAATGCTATAATACCATAATACTATAATATGACTATAACACTACTATACTAACCGTGCAAGAATATTCTTCAAGCTGTCTCTGGACCAGGACGCTGAAGGTCTCACCAGCACCCAGTGTCTGCGCGTACTGGTCGGCTGTTGGCACCACAATCTCTACATTCAGGACCAGCCTGGGTTTAGGGTTTAAGGTTTAGGGTTTCAGGACCATGTCGCCAAGTCATAAATTCCGACATGCTGTTCCTCAAGTAAGCAGCACCTTGATACTTGATATTAGTCTACTGGACCATACTGTTGTACACCAAGAGCTACCTACAAACTGCGGAAACTGCCAAGCCACAGGAACACCAGGTAGTTCGCAAGCCACAGGCTCTTCCAAGGAGCCATTCGCTCCTACGGAAACTGTTCTTTCCCTGAAACATATACTTGATTTCCAGGGCTGGAATGACAAATATCCAAGTTTGACGGCATCCTGGCCCAGATGCCAAAGTGGCATAAGTTCACATGCATCGAAAGCAGCACCGGGCTCAAGGCGGCCAATTTGATAGTTTGTTCCGAAATTACGGCCCTGCTTCACAGGAACGATGCTCCTGTGGCGATCCACATGTCGGCACCTCAACCCCAAGAAACCCCGAGTTCCTAAATCATGCACACTCAAACCCTGGAGCCTAGAGAAGAACCGCATGTAACCCTGATGTCCTCTGTTGGCGTCTGGACCTCGCCGGGCTCCTCATCCAAGGACTTCAAGCAGGTGGCATTGGCGTTCGGTGCTTGGGAGTTAAGATGGCTTTGCTGCGATTAAAGGAACAACTCGGAGGGGGAATGCAGAGAGCCTGCCATGACGACTTCGAACATCAGGTGTCCTCTACTTTAAAACCCAAAATACACATGGTCGAGACTGCCTTCCTGCATGCCTGCCTACCCTGCTGCCGCTACTGCCAACGGCAATCACCCTGCCACTGCAACGACCACTGCCACTACAACAACGATTAGATAGGAATACACGCTCGAGGCAAAAACGCTTTCCTTTTGATTACAATTCTGGGAATAAAGTTCTCAAAGGCATGGAGTTCAAAAAATCTTTCTTCTCGGGTGACATTGTTTACAAAACTCCAAGTTTCCGTCTCCCCTTCAGACGAAATCAACGACTTCCGCCCAGGGAAATGAATTTTCATTGCCTTGGTTTGATACGAATGGGGAACCACGCAGACCCACATTGGCTGTTGGCTACTAACGAAAAAAACCTGCTTGCCTCTATGGTATGATACGAAACTGATGATTCCGTCCTCAGTGATTGATGTAGGAATATTCACATCAGTCTGATCGGTAAACCTATTGTCAACTATAAGACACCGTGTACTTCATGTGGACTGACAAAAGATTTGATAGTGCAGATCCTGATAAGACATCCTTTCATCGAGATTGAAAACGAGATTCCCTCTACAAGTTCTGACAATGTGTTCGTCGCGACCAGGAAACCATCCCCTTTCTGGACTTAAGGGTGCCCAGCCGGCAATGCACACACACACACACGTTTCAACAACGTACCTTCGCAATCGCTTAACAAAGCGTGAAGAATATTGATATTGGCAAAACGCAAGTAACACTTTTGTCAATAGTTACCTCAAGACTACCAGTGGTAACCAGTAATAGTAGCCAGAAGAATGCTACAGATGATTACATTCTCAGGAGTTCCAAGGTTCGCTTGTTTTTCATCGGAGAACCTACGATTGGTGGGGAACCTTAAACAAGAGGTAGCGGCACAGAGGCAGTATTATGCTGGCTGGGGGAAATCTTGCACCGCGCATTAGCTCTGACTTGGGTCGGCCTCAAAGCAGCAGCCCGTTCTTGCAGACAATGTTTTAAAACGGGGCGCAGGGGCGCAACTGCTTTCTCTCTTGCCAATACTGCCGCAGCAATGACCAAAACGCTTCTCCTACCACTAATCGGCAAAGAACGAAACGTAGACACTAAGGCCCAAATCATACAGCCGACAGCACACCACAGTCCCCAAACTCCCCTACAAGCTCCTAAATCCCCCAACCCATTGCAGGCCTGCGCTAACCTTATGAACTTGTTAAATGCCTCACACAGCAACAATAGAAAAAGCACGTACCCTGCCAAAGTGCAACCGAAGCCACAGGCGCCGCAGGCAAGTCGCCGGCGGGGCGGCCCACAACGATTGCGGAAGCCTTTCCATATTGAAACCGTGTGCCTCTGGCTAAAACTGTTGCTGTTGTCGCTGTTGCTGTTGTCGCTGGTGTTGCTGGTGTTGCTGGTGT